CCTTTTGGTATATATGAGGCAAGGGACATTAATGTTGTATCTCAGAAAGCACTGTGGGAGGGAGCACACTGTCAGAGCCTGCCCAGAAGAGCTCGACCCTCTGGTTAGGTAGACTCATGTCTAAGGATAAGAAAGCCAGCATCTGAGACAAGAGCTACATTCCTGATTGTCTAGTTTTAATCCTATTTAGGGGTGACTAGCTGCTTGGAGCCAGTTTCCCTCTTGTGTCTATGCCAAAAAAGGTCTTTTTTGTAGCATGAAATCATATAAGAGGATTTTTACCAGAAACCTAAACCACACACCAAACAAACCCAACTTCTTGGGGTGAGTCCAAATAGCTTCCTTAGGGAGCAGATGGTGCTAAGCCCCATTCCTTTTTGCCCTCTTTTGCACCAGTGGCTGGCATGGGGTCCATTGCTAGCGGTGGACCTATACCAAGAAACTCAGGACCCCAAAAGTAGAAGGATAGCAAATAGGATAGGTTGCCCTAACCCCTCAGGTTCCTGAGTGGCTCCAGAGAGGGGCCCTTTGATGCAGTAGAGATTTCATGATTCTTGATGGAATTGGATGAATTTTTATCTGGTAGGGAATGCTGTGTGTTATTTCAATACTATTTGCCATCTAGAGAAATAATAGGAAATTTTATGGGGGCCTTGCTACCCAAGAGAAGAAAGGAGTAAGTGTTTAGTTCTGGTCGACAGTATGTGTCTCTGGGGATTCTCCAAGCATATCCTAGAGACCAAAGTCCAATTGGTTGGTAAACATTCTTTCCTCGCTGGTGCAGCCCCTTGTTTGAGATGAATTTTCCAGTATGCCCACTCATCAGAAAGTGCCAAACTCAAACCCAGACACACCTGTTCCTTTCCAGGCAATAGGAGGTGGAGAGTGTGCATGAGGGGAGGAGTAGGAATGTGAAAGACAGTCCTAGAGTGGGAACAGATGACCACTTCCCAAACCCTACCTTCTGCTGTTTGCTGGATTCCTTCCCAATAGCCCTTTTGCCCTACTGAGGACATTCAGTTTAGCTGGCCACTACTGCTAGCATGCCAACCTGATCAGGGAGAGAGGCAGGAAGGAAGGTGACCCACTGTGAGGCCAATCTATTTTTCCACATCATTCCATAAAAATCCAGTGCCCAAGGCTCCAGATTGTCCACCTCTGCCAGCTTCTCTTTGTTTCTCCTCTTGCCCAAGCCAAACCTTTTGACTTTTTGCCTCTCAACGATGTTGGCTTTGCTTTTAGCTGGGTGGGACACCACTCTGCCATAATGCCCCTCCCAGAAAGTATAGTTGTGCCAATGCCCCTCATAGTAGTGCAGGAGATTCTTTAAAAGTGCCAATGTGGTGGAAATTATTTGGTAATACTGGTATATTCTACAATCCTGATTTAAGACAATTTAAACATTAACCTATTTAAAAAGATACTATATAAGATGCTGTTTTTTAAACCTTGTCATTTGAAATGCATCTATCGTTGTGAGTGTTGGGGTGGGGGAAGGGTAGAGGGGCGAGGCAGAAGGAATGGCCCCAGTGCCAGCCAACTAGCCACGTGGGTGCGTGTGGCTTCCAGCTAGGTGAGATAGCAGGAGTTTGCTCTGATGTCAGGCCCTGACTCCTTATTTCAGAAATACCTGATGGAAATTGATTTTCATATCTTTCTCCTGAAATAAATTCTCTATTTCAAATTGGAATAAATTTTGTTGCTAAAAAAAAAAAATTCTACTTAGTGCCAATCTTTTCATCAGGAAACTTAGATGTCCTTTATTTCATTAAAGATCTATTTTTTTCTCTCATGTGATTATATTTAGTCTTGTTGGATAAGTTTATTTTGGTTGTAAGCTTAGATATTTTACTTTATGGAATATCATATTCCAAGCTATCTGTTCCTTCAAAGTGATGACTGCTAAATCTCATGTCATCCTAACTATGGCTCCTGGGTACTTGAATTCTCTCTTTCTGGCTGCTTGCAGTATTTTTTGTTTGACCTAAGAGCTTTAGATTTTGGCTATAATATTCCCGGGAGTTTTCATTTGGAGGATTTCTTTCAGAAGGTAAGTGGTGGATTCTTTCCATTTCTACTCTGCCCTCTAGTTCTAAGAGATCTGGGTAGTGGACTTTTTTTATGATTATTTGAAATATGATGTCTAGGCTCTTTTTTGGTCATAACTTTCAAGTCATCCAATGATTCTTAAGTTATCTCTTCTTGATCTATTTTCTAGGTCAGTTGTTTTTTGTTATGAGGTACCTTATATTTTCTTTTATTTTTTTCAGTCTTTTGACTTTGTTCTATTGTTTCTTCATGTCTCATTGAGTCATTGGCTTCTATTTGGTCAAGTCTAATTTTCAAGGAGTTAATTTCTCAGGTGAAGTTTTGTACTTCTTGTTCTTAGCTATTAATACTTTTTCCACATATTTCTTCCATTGCTCTCATTTCTTTTCCCATTTTTCCTGTTCTCATTTGTTTTAAAATGATTTTTCAGCTTTTTTTTAAATCTTGCTTTTATTCTTCTAGAAATTCTTGATGGACTTCTGTCCAAGCTGCCTTTTTTTTTAATTTTTATTTTTTAAGGTTTTGCTTAGATATTTTTGAGACATTTTCTTCTTCTGGGTTTGTGTCCCTGTCATTATAATAGCTCTTAATAGCTCTTTATGGTATGATACTTTGCTTTCTTCCAGCCTATTTTTTGACATTGGACTTTTTTGTTAGTTCTGGGCTTTGTGCACGTCTGAATGGGGGAAGGGGGAGGAGTCTGATCTGAGCTTCTGTTCTCTTATATCCTTCTGCTGTTTTCACAGCTCAGTTTAGGAAGCTGCAAGTTTTCAGTCTGCCTAAAGTGATGTGGTCTGGAATGAAATCTACTCACTGCCCTCCCTGGTCTAAGTTCTGCAAGTTTCTGACCCAGGTTTGGGTCTGTTGGCTTGTTCCTGGTTGGGAGTTTCAGTACACTACTCCTGGGTTCAGCCACTATTAGTCTGCTGGGAGGTTCTGTGGGTTCAGAACAAGTGAACTGAAGGCTCCCCTCTGATCTGGGACTTCTGTCCTAGAAGTTCCATTGCAGGTTTATACCTGGACTACAAACTGGAAACAATTCTTCATTCTGCTCTTGGGATCAGAGCCACACAGCTATTGTTTGCTTCCAGAATGTATTCCTTGCTCAGTATGCAGCTAGGGCCTTACTAACAACAATTCCTGTGGGACCACTCTCATCCTCTCTGCCCTGGATCTGTGACCCAGATCTGGGTAGTGAGCCACGGAGCTGCCAGATGGCACCTATTCCTGCACCCCACACTAATTCAGGGATCCCTTGGGATCTCTTCTCTGCCCTGGTACCCAGTCTCACTCTCTTTTAGCCCCAGGGTGCTAAATGATGTGTTCCTGGCCAAACTCTGTCCCTAACATCTACAGACCTCTCTGTCTATCTTCCTAAGCTGTCCTGAGCTGGGAAAAATGATTTGCTTTCCAAACAAATTACTTTTATGAAGACGTTGCAGAAAACATTTTTTTCCTTAGCAGCAAATTTGTACTGTCTTACCAAATGTAATAGCTATTTTATATAGTACTTTACATTGATCCTCATCACAACCTTAGGTAGGGTGCTACTACAGATGCGAAAAGTGGAGCTAGGACAGGAGAGGTTAAGAATAACCTAGGATAACACAACTAGTAAGTTTCTGAGACAGGGATTCAAAAGCAGGGCTTCCTGACTACAAATCCAATATTCTATCCATTGAACCACTTAGCTGCCAAATTCCAGCTATATTCAGTCTAAAATGTAGGTATCTTGAAAAAAAGTTTCAAGAGAGCCAATAGAATGATGTTTGTTGACAATTATGGTTTCATGTGTAAACAAAAGTAAATGTTGTTTTAAATATGAGACTAAGATACTATTAGCCTTTGTACTCACAAACACATGAGAAATAGAATGAATGAGAAAAAATAGAACTAGAAAATTATAACATACAAAACTACCAAATTCATTTTCCCATTTTTTGAAGACAGTAGTTAATGGTCAAAATATCCATTTCTGAGCAATAATCCAGCAGCTTTGGATTGCAGACATTTTAGCCCTACCTAAACAGTTCATTCAGATGCTATGGAAATAACATATTGAAGTATATTGATTGCCCAAGGATGAGAAAAATTCATACTAAATAGGCCTTCTCCTTCCTATGTACACATAGTTTCTTTCTGTTAGGAGGGAGGGGAATATTGTTTCTAACAGTAGAATTAAGATGAACAATTATTAATTTCTCTTTCTATCTACTATTTTTTTTGGATTGTCTCTCCTAAGCCCTACACCTACTCTGGAAGAAGTGAATGCCTGGGCTCAGTCATTTGACAAGTTAATGGTCACTCCAGCAGGAAGAAATATCTTCCGGGAGTTCCTCCGAACAGAATTCAGTGAAGAAAATATGCTCTTTTGGATGGCCTGTGAGGAACTGAAACAGGAGGCCAACAAAAGTGTCATAGAAGAGAAGGCAAGGCTGATATATGAAGATTATATTTCCATTCTTTCTCCTAAAGAGGTAGGAGACAATTCCCTAGACTATTTCTATTAGTTTAACTGTCTCAAAGGTATCAGTTTAATAACATCACTCTCTCCAATTGTGTAGGCATGTACACTTTTCTTGTTCTGACATTACAGGTCCGGTATTCTGGAGGATATGTCCAATTTCTGTCTTTGGACCTGAGTAAAATAATTTTCTCTTCCTTTCTTTGTTCCTTTGTTAATTCCTTCCTTCCACCCTTCCTTCCTTGCCTTCTTTCTTTCTTCCTTTCTTTCTCCTTCCCTTTCCAGTGGTCCTTGACCTCCCCAAGGGACCTATATGCTCCTTCAGACTTATAGTGCTACTCTAAGGTTGGGGCCCTTTCCAAGGCCCATTCCAAGAGGAAAACTTTTGGACTTGCTAAAGAGATTAAAAAAGATCCACATCTCCCAGGGTACTTCATCTTCCCTCAGGGACCTATGTCTTCCAGATTTATAGTATAAGCCTAGGGCTGAGAGCTTCTCCAAAAGGGCAAAGCACTTGAATTCACTAGAGTCAACCCCTTTCTGACATAATAGCACAGTCCACGTTGAATCACAGTATCAGAAGGCTTTCCTATATCATGACTTTGTCCCTTGTGGGTCCTCAGCTATTGCTTCTATTAGATCCAACAACTAAACATTGTTCAAGAACTCTTTCTCTGTATCTAGGGTTCTAAGTCTTAAAATTTCTCCATTTGGCCCAAAACTCTAGAAAGGTAACACACAATATACTACAAAAATTCCAAATGGATAAATGTGGAAGAAGAATCAGACTTCTGTTTGGAGCCAGGGGGCAGAACTGGGAGCAAGAGAAAAAAAGGTGCAAATCAGCAAATTAGGTGCTATGTAAGGAAAAAATTCCTAAGAATTAGAATACTACAGAAGTTAAATGATCTACATTGGGAGGTAAGGGGTTTCTCCTTTACTCTTGAAAGGCCAGATAGATGACAATTTGTCAGGTGTGTTTCAGAAGAAATCCTGTTAGCATATGGATTGAGCTAGATAGGCTCATACAGGATCACAGAATTAGAGTTGGAAAGGGCTTCAGAAATCATCAAGTGCAACCCCTCTTCTCCATTTTGTAGATGGGAAAACTGAGGCAATGATCACAAGCCTTCATTAAGTGCTCACTACACTATGCTGTTTTCTGGGAATACAAATATAGTGAAAGAGAAAAGAAAGGAAGGAAGGATGAAAGAAAGAGAAAGAAAGAAAGAAAGAAAGAACAAAAGAAAGAAAGAAAGAAAGAAAGAAAGAAAAGAAAAAAAAGAAAAGAAAAGAAAAGAAAAGAAAAGATAAAATACTCCCTGCCCTTAAGAGCCCAGGATGACACAGTTAATAAGTATCTGAGGCAGAATTTGAACTCAGGTTTTCCTGACTTAAGGTCCAACACTGCATTCACTATATCACACTACCTACCTGATACTTTAAAGTTTGCAAAGCAATTTACAACTTTTTTTCATTTGATCCTCACAACAACCCTGGGAGTAGGTGCTATCATTATCCCCATTTTACAGATGAGAAAACTGAGGCAAATAGTAGTTAAGTGACTTGCCCAGGGTCAGACAGTTCATAAGTGTCTGAGGCAAGATTCAATCTCAGGCCTTCAGAAGATCATAGATTTCGAGTTGGAAGGGGCCGTGGAGGCCATATTATACAAAATCCTCACTTTACAGATGAGAAAACTCAGGCCCAGAAAGGTTAGACTACTCACTCAACATCACACAGGTAAGTGGCCGGGCCAGGATTTGGACCCAAGTCTTCTGATCCCTGCAGTGTTTTTCCCACTGTACCATGTTGCCTCCCTTAGATCTTCCTGACTCCACGTCCAACCCTCTATCTACTGTGCTAACTAGCTACCCAGGACTTTGACACTGAGTTTCCTTTCACTTCAGAGATTCAGGGATCTACTCCCACCATTGGCCATTGAACTGTCTCCTGCACTAATACTGTCTCCTTCAACTGTCACCTCTGGGGCTCAGGGAACTGCAGGAAGATGGCTTCTTTTTGGCCATCTTAGCTCTGGTTCTGTTTCTATCTGTGTCTGCTTTCCTTTTAAAGGCCAAGTTTAACTGTGTAGCTTAGGTGCCTAATTAGCTACATATACTCAGTTATCCTTAATATGGTGTCAGTGGGTCAATTAGTACCTAGGGCAAAACAGTTTCATACCTAATTAAGAAGATTTCATCAATGCTAGATCCAGGGTCTTCTCTTCATTATCCTCATTAATTGTAGGAATGAGGAGGCCGCCTTGCCCGGGAGATCTCAAACAAGGGCCTCGATTCCCAAGATACATACTTTATTATAATAATGACAATTCACATGTACGTTGCATTTAAGTTTTATAAAGCACTATTCTTACAAGTCTGTGGCATAGGTATTTTCATTATCATTTATTTATTTTTTATCTTTTATTATCTTCATTTTCATCAATAAGGAAACTGAAGCTCAGCCAACTAATTGGCTTATGATCACACAACTAGTAAATGTGTGAGCCAGGATTCAAATAAATGTTTTGTGATGACAGGTGATTTCTATAATGCATCCTGGTATCATAAAATCTACAGATTTGGAAGGGACCTCAGGGGTCACATAATCCAATCGAGAGTGGAAAAGAGAATCTCCTTCGCAGTATCCTAGATAAGTGTGAAAGTCTCTGACAGAAGATCTCTCACAAAGAGCTCACTCTCTCTTAATGCCCTTGCTACCCTTAGGGAGGTCTCCATACACTGACCCCTCCACAATATGGCTCTGGTTTCTTTTTCTAGGTTAATTACACATGACTTTCATCCATACTGCAGCCAAACTGGCTTGTTCCCAGGACATGGCATTCCATTCCACAATATCTCCATCTCTCACCTACCTGCCTTTGTACAGACTTATCTCCCGTGCCTGGAATGCTCTCCCTCCTCCTCTTCCTCCTCTTGAAACCCCTATCTCCCTTGAAAGTTCATCTCACATGAATCTTTTCTCACTAATTTCACCTGATCTTAGTGTCCCTCTCAAATCATTATACAGACACACAAACATAACACATTCATATATATTTAAATATACTATGTATATATTATATGTTACATATCTATTTGTAAGTGTAGCATATGTTGTTGTTCAGCCATTTTAGTTGTCTAACTCTTTGTGACAACATTTGGGATTTTTTTTTTGGCAAAGATACTGGAGTGGTTTGCCATTTCCCTCTCCAGTTCGTTTTATAGATGAGGGACTGAGGCAAACAGGGTTAAGTGATTTGTCCAGGGTCACATAGCTAATACATGTCTGAAGCTGGATTTGAACTCAGGTCTTCCTGACTCTAGGTCCAGTGCTTCATCTACTGTGCCACCTAGCTGCCCCACCTAGTTTTTACACACACACATACACACACACATCATATACATATATATATATATACACACACATACACACACACACTGTAGATATTTAACCAATAATATATTGCATCCTTCCACTAAAATGCAATTCCTTAACGGAAGGAACTGTTTCATTCTCATTTACATTGATAGCATTTAGCACACAACAAACACTTAATAAATGCTTGTTGATTTACTGTACCTAAATCTACTTCCCTGTAATTTTCACCCACTGGTATATACCCTGCCTTCTAAGGCCACGTAGAACAAATATAATTCCTTGTTCTACGTGACCCTTTGTACACATGAAGAGAGCTATTATGTACTCCTCTCCACCAACCAAATTTTTCTTACACAAGCTTAACATCCCCAGTTCCTATAGAGGATAATTGTGTGGCTTTTAAGTCCCTTCAACATTCTGGTTGCTTTTGAGCCTCTCAGTGTCCTACCTAAATTCCAATGTGTCTCTTGGCTATTTACTGAACAGAAGTATAGCCAAATGTGTTCCGTGATGACTATCTCTGTGAAAGAGATCTTCTTTAATAATAGGAAAATCATCGAATGATAATTTGAAGTTAATTATATTTGTACATATTGCATATAAAATACAGTATATGCATGTAATACTACTTTACAGATCACTTACTATTATAAATTTCTTCTAGTGTTTGAGCACAGACCCATCAGAACTGAAAAAAGTGCTCATTTTTTTTCTTAAGTTTTGTCTTACGCTGGGAACTTTCATATACTTTTGGTAGCTTTGGCTTGCCTGTATAGTGGAAAATGGATGACAGGATCATAGATTTAGATCTAGAAGGGTCCTTAGAAGCCAAGTCCAACTCCCTCATTTTGGAGAAAAGAAAGTGAAGCTAAGAGAAGTCAAGTGAGTTGCCCAGGGTTACACAGCAAGTAAGTATCCAAAGCAGGATTTGGACCCAGGGCTTCCTGACTCCAAGTCTAGCATTCTATCCACAATGATATTCTCCAGTCTGTCAGCTAACAGATGACAGGGAAACACAGAAGGTAGTTTCATTGATCCTACCAAATACATCAGTCACTGGCAGCAATTCCCCAGGCTCTATTACCCTTTAGCGTAACTATGCCTATGAGCTTCGGGATATGAATATTCAGCCCACTGCTTCAGAAAGTGGTAGATTAAGTCTATGCATACAGCTCTCTTGCTCTACAGCAGCACAGAGGGCGAGAAACCCAATTATCAGTACTCCAGAAAAATGTTCAGAGCCTTCAAAAGAAGGAAAATTTTATCTTCTTAACTATGGCAAGGATCTGTGATTTCCTCTGCATGGAAACTCCCACTACCAACATATGGTAGCCTGTTACCTCATAAGTATGAATTAAAGAGATTCCTGAGTCTCAGACAGGTTAAGTAAAATGATTTCACCCATGGTCACAAAGCTAGAGGTCAAGCTCTCTAACAGGGCCAAATCTTCCCAACTCTAAAAGCAGCAAGCACTCTAACCACCATGCCATGCTGACTATACATTTTCCGTGTGTGTGTGTGTGTGTGTGTGTGTTCTAAGAAAATAACAAACATGCTTTCAAATTTTGTTTTGTCAGATAATGAGGACGAGTTCTTTATTTTTATTCCAAAAGGGACTTGAGAATGCAAAAAGAAAGTTGGTAAGATGGATACAGGATAAGAAATGGAACAATTCAGGGGCAGCTAGGTGGTGCAGTAGATAGAGCACTGGTCCTGAAGTCAGGAGGACCTGAGTTCAACTCTGGCCTCAGACCAAACACTTGACACTTACTAGCTGTGTGACCCTGGGCAAGTCACTTAACCCCAATTGCCTAAAAATAAAAAAAAAAGAAGGAAAAAAAAACAAATGGAACAATTCAGAGCCTAATGCTGACATAATTTGTTTCTATCCACAGGTCAGCCTGGATTCCCGAGTAAGAGAAGTTATCAACAGGAACATGCTAGAGCCATCACAACATACATTTGATGATGCACAACTTCAAATTTATACCTTAATGCACAGAGACTCATATCCCCGATTTATGAATTCTGCTCTTTATAAGGACTTACTTCAGTCCTTATCAGAGAAAGCCATTGAAGCATAGGATTTTCAAATGTATTTATTATTAACATTAACAAAAGCAACAACAATAAACTTGTGGGCCACATCTAAGGACAAGAAATTTAGAGATGACAGTATCTTCATCTGACTTAATACTCAGGCATATTTTAATAATGGACATTGTTTCCTTTTACAGAGGGCTTTAAAACCACAAGCCAAAATGTAGTCACCAGTCACCTTTAGTGATGTTTTAGAGAGACTACGGAAAATATGGCTTGTCCTTTTGCAAAGATAATTTTTATTCTTTTAATTATAGCAGCATGTTCTCAAAGGCAAAGGCTACTCTTGTAGGTTTCCATTCTAACTTGGTACAATCACTGGAGAAAAAAAAAAGGTCAACATTCAGACTTTTTGTATGAGTTACATGAATGACTACTCTCATCCTAAAAAGCAAAGCTGTTCAGTAGCAATCTGCTAACTCCTGCCATTCATTGGCACTCTCACTTTTGAATGCAGCATACATTTGTGCCATTACCACTTGGCACAGGATAGGTTGAAACATTTTATAGCCATCTTTTAGTAGATGTGGACCCTAATTATAAAGGTATTTCCCTTCACCTTAGGATACAATATATGTTAGCAGTGTTCCCTTAACACGGATCAATCTCAAATGTGTGGGCAAAAACAGACTGGAGATACACTGCTTAGAAAACTCTTCTGTTCAAAAGAGTTACTGTTATTTTTAAATCAAGGTTTGGCTAAAGAATGAATTAAGTTAATGGTGTATTCATGTTTATAAAAATAGTTATCAACTGAGGTTGCTTCTATTTTTATTTTGGAAAGTGAAGACAAAGTATGGGCATTCACACTCTAAAAAATAAAGCACAAGGGTTTTATCTCATTGTTTCTTTTTTTTCTCTTACATACATAAGTATGCACAAGGATTTGGCTGAATGAGTCTGAAATGAAATTAGAAGTCTGTTCCAGTCTCCTTACTTCCAAGTCTATAAATTTACCCTCCAGAGCACTAGCCCTGGAGTCAGAAGGATCTGAGTTCAAATCCTGCCTCAAACACTTACTGGCAGTATGACCTTGGGCAAGTCACTTAACCCTGATTGCCTCCCAAAAAGCCAACCAAAAAGAAAACAAAACAAATCTACCCTACAGACACTAATGTTGACATAGTAAATGGGAATAATTCTTTGTTGAACTGCATGGAAAATATTTATATATCTACAATACTATTGAAGAAAAATCTTGTCTAATTTGCAGTGAATCTGAAAGACATTCATAATTATCTTTTCTTTTACATGAAATGCTTCAGAAACAGTGTTGTGTAGTGTAGTGGGGGTGGGACTATTGGAGTCAGGAAAACCTGTGGATAAGTCCTGCCTCAGCCTTACATTGGCTGTGTGAACATGGGGAAGTCAAGTAATATCTTAGGACCCCTAAACAACTCTTTAAGAAAAGCTGCAAATATACATCAGTGAACAACTTCTGCACACAGAAACTTCTCTATACAGATGAAAAAAACAGTTCTAGACCAAAAAAGAAAATTATCATTTGGAATTGTTCAATTACTTGGACAGAGAATGGTAATTCACATGGTTTGCATGTGCCACTGGCAACAAAGGTACTTTGATCGACGTGAGCTTAAACAATATGGGAAACACAGCAAAGCTGGCATATTAGTGTGTGTGTGTGTGTGTGTGTGTGTGTGTGTGTGTGTGTGTGTATACATATCCTATTAAAACACTTTCAGAAGAAGGAATCATACCTGATCAATGGGGAAAAAGATTTTTCAGAAGTACTTAGTTCTAAGATAGTAAGTTAGAAAATAATGGCAAGAAAATGCAAAAGAGGAATAAATGATAATATAATATTTATACAATGTAAATAATGACATAATAATATAGAAACACACCAAGTGAAACAATGTTATGAGGAGTAGTTTATTTCATAGGAACATCATAAAATTGTTATAATTAAATGTTACAGTGGAGTTTCATGACTACATTTATTACACTTTATATAACAAATATTTTATCAGTATTATTACTATGCTATTACAACTTTGTTGAATATCAGCCTAATTATCACTTGTAATAATTCAATTATATGTGCAACAAATGATACTTTTAGATGCCTTTCAGGGTCACTTCAGGTTAAAGCAATATGTTTCGTTCAATAGAAATATAAACCAGTATTCAAAAAGAGTTCTGCATCTTGTTTTAGACATCATACTAGAAAAAAGTTGAATGAAACAAATTTATCCATACATACTTCATAATAATAATTATTTTACTGGTTGGCCATTAGTAACTTTTTTCCCACTAATGGTGATGTCTGTGCATTAGAACCATCTGTAATCTTTTGCCTTCTATACTAGGTATCCCTTAGAGGAATCAGTAATATGAGATCTTGAGATGGATGACTAATGGTCACAGAATATGATTTTTCCTTTTGGTTATGCTAACTTGCTAGTTAAGGGATTAAAGTCATAGCTCTGGTCTCATTAGCATCTCTTTCTAACCAATGGATTTAAATGCTCATAAACAGATAAGAGGAAAGCTAAAGTTAGTGATCAGAATAAAAGATAAGCTATAAGAAGCCTAAAAGTTAAACTTCTTTAGCTTTTGATATCCAAATACAAGATGTTTTAAAGAGTTACTTTGACATTATGGATAAAGTGTTCAATGTGGAATCAACTACCCAATCAGTTGCCAAGTATTATTTTTCTCTGCATCATTTCTTATATATTGTTCCCTTTTCTCCACTTACATAACCACCACTTTAGCTCTGGCCATTGTCACCTCTCATGTGGACTATTGTAACAGCCTCCTAATTGGTTTTCCTGCCTCAAGTCTCTCCCCACTCAAATACATCCTCCATTCAGTCCTTTCATAAGTAATTTTCCTGAGGCACAGATCTCACCATGACATTCCCCTATTCAATAAACTCCAGTGGCTCTCTGCTATCACTGGGATCAAATATAAAGTCCTTTTGGCATTTAAATACTTTACAATCTGGCCTCTTCCTATCTTTACAGTCTTCTTCCATGCTACTCCTCTCCATGTACCTTATGTTCCATCCATACTATCATCTCACAAAGTGCTCTCTCTCCATCTCCAGCCTTTGCACTGGCTGCCCCCAATGCCTTTAGTTTTCTTGACTTTCTTCAAAAGGCTAAATGAGAACTAGGGTAGAATATTTTGTCTATCAAAAATATATTTAGGCAAAAATACAATCCTCTAGCTTGCTGGTAAGAAAAGTCAATTAAACTTCCAAATCATTCCTAGGGGTAGTATTCATAATGGATGGCAGAGAATGCTAATATGGAATTTGAAAAGACTGGACTATTGGTAACAATATGCCGTATTTTTCCTCCCAAAGAGTTCAAAGGAATTTAGACCTTGCCCACCAAGGGAACATATTTAAGCTGTTTAGTATATCAGATATGAAATTTGTGTTCCTATCTTTGTAGTTGATGCCATTAAGAAAAAAAAATAATAAGCTCTCACTGGTGTCAAGGGAGAGGATATGGAACATGCTAAGTCATCTGTGGCACAGTCACCTGTACTTTAATTTTCCATCCACAAGAACCGTAAACAAGCTAAAGTATAGGAGTACACAGATGGGTTTTTTAAATGATTTAATATAAAATAATAACACTGTCACATCCCTCTGCAACACTGGGAGAAATCTCCAGAGATCATCTAGCTCATTACCCTGCTCCCTGCTAACCACAATCAACAAACAGGAAAGGATCTTTTTTATGCTTCAAGATCTTCAGAAAAGGAGGTTCCTTAATTTCCTTTAATAACCTGAATTGTCTGCTTCAGACACCACACTTGAAATTTCACTTCTCATACGATTCAAAGAACCATGTGACAACAAACTACACAGCCTAAGTCACTCAATGTACTTCCTTTGTTAAAAGGACTAAGCAAGGGGCAGCTAGTCAGTGCAGTGGATAGAGCACTAGCCCTGGAATCAGGAAAGACCCAAGTTCAAATCTGGCCTCAGACACTTAGTAGCTGTGTGATCCTGGGCAAGTCACTTAACCTCAATTGCCTCCAAAAAAAAAAAAATTGAATAGAAAAAAAAAAAAGGACTAGGCAAGACAGAAGAGACATTAAAAATTATTAAGGCTAACTTCCTCATATTCCAACAAAGAAAGAAAAAATATATCTTCAATCTTCACAATGCCTTAAGAACATATAAATTGCAGCAGTGAGTCACCCACATTTTCCCCAGTACAATAAGGCAGTTCCCAAGAGACAACCATCTTAACCATACAAGCAATCACTGCAGCCATGAAGGGTGAGGGGGGGCTGGTGTTCATAGCCCCCACTCTAATGCCAGCCCTATGTAAAGTATATGTGGGGAGGGGGAGGGAAGCATACACATATATTCCCCGTTTATTGGCACTATACTTTAGATACTTCAGTGGATTTGGGATTTCATCTACATGGGCATTCCCTCCATCAATGCAAATCACAATCTGCACAATTCACGTATAGGACCTCTGAAGTATTTGTGAAGGTTGATTCAAAGACCAAAATCTGTAGGACACATCAATGCTCAAATCCCCTTTTGTATGTACCCTGTATTTTGGTCCCCATGTTATACAAAACTTACATGTACATTGGTGAAACAGATGGCAGGTACACGAGCTTCTGATTATTCTCCCAAAGCTATAAAGCAAAAGCAAATGAAAAAATTCTAGGGAAGACCAAAGGAGAAAATCCTAGACCAATACACTTAAGATCCTTCTTGTTGTTGTTTGTCCTTTTGTTCTCAAGAGGTCCAATGACATAAGGAGGGTGATGTCTTGAACTGGATTTAAGTGAGGCAGGGTTGCACACAGTCATCTGAGTCCAGCAGCAAGACATAGGTCAGGACGACTGGAGGTGGCCCCAGATGCAGTGGGAGACCTTGACTTCGGGCTAAGGTCTTTCCCAGGTCTCAATCTGTCTGTGGCAATACCCATTCAGTGATTTAAGGCTGGGTTGTTGTTGCTTGTCCTTCATTCTTGAAGAG